AAAGCAAACAAAAACTGAAGGTTCTGATATGTAAACAAAACTTACCATCTGGAGGAAAAGTCAAGGCTAGAACTGACTCCTGAGCCAGTAAACTGAAATACACTGCTTCTCAATTTATGCTTGAAACCACACCTTAGAAGTTAATTCTTTTAATTAGATAAATAAATAAATAAATAGGTGAAATAGAATTAAAGACTTAAAATCAATATCAAAAGAAAGTTCCCCCTGAAAGGATGATATATCTGTTGTCTTTAAAACAGGTCATTTAGGGGCGCCTGGGTGGCGCAGTCGGTTAAGCGTCCGACTTCAGCCAGGTCACGATCTCGCGGTCAGTGAGTTCGAGCCCCGCGTCGGGCTCTGGGCTGGTGGCTCGGAGCCTGGAGCCTGCTTCCGATTCTGTGTCTCCCTCTCTCTCTGCCCCTCCCCCGTTCATGCTCTGTCTCTCTCTGTCCCAAAAATAAATAAAAACGTTGAAAAAAAAAAAATTTAAAACAAGTCATTTAGCATAATCTTATAATAGCAAGACACCCACCCACCCACATCTTTATACCTTCTCTGTGACCACTCACATCCATCAGCCCATGCTCCTCTTCTGCAGCACACTCTTTAAAGGTGGTATTCCTAAGGGTACTGACCTTCTCACTCTACTCATTCTCCCTGAATGAGTCAAAATCATGACAGTAGATGAACTATGACTATTCCAGTAGCTGAGAACTATCACTGGAGCAGCTAAAAATATATAAATGCTCAGGCTCCAACTCAGACTTAACTAATGAACAACAATCTCTGGGAATGAAGCCCAAGGACCTCTATGTTCCCCATTTCTATATGCTCCTTAGGCAAGAACCATGTCCTCCATCTACTCAACAGTGACTAGCATACATACACAAGCACAACCAACATTTGTTGAATAATGTTGTGGAAACACAAAACAGCAAGTATAAACACCTTCAATTGCAGAACTGTGTAGTGTTTAATAAATTACCAAGCTACTAGTAATTACATCAGAAAGCCACTGTTTAACTATACTAGTTAAGTAAATACAGTTGGATAGTTAAGGGCTTTAAGTACTCCTCTATCACTGGTATAGGTTTAAAAAAATCCCTGATCTTTTTTGAAGTCCACAAGATAATGTAGGTAGCCACAAAGGATTTAAATATAACAAGGCCAAATTAAACTATAACAAGAGAATTACAGAAAGCTAGAAAACCAAGAGTATTCTAAAAGAAAAACTGTTAAGCTAAAACTACACTGCAGATATCTACAAATAACAGTATTAATCTCCTGCTGCCCAGAACTACTCTCCCAGAAGTAGTAATCAAATTCCCAAGGAAAAATTAAATTTGGCAATCTTTTCAAATTTCAATCTTTTTCTCCTGCAAATTCATTTTCAAATTCAATAATAACATACTTGATTTCATATTGAAAAGTAGCATTAGAGAGCAGAGGATTTAAGTTTTTTAGAATTAACAGTAAGCTCTCTAATGTGAACTAAGTAAAACAATGGTTTTTAACTTGATAAACGTAAAACTTATGGCCACATTAAACATTTTTTTTAATTGAAAAACCTAGACAACTGATATTTAAAACTTCAGGAAATATAAAGGGATCTTATGAATCAATAAAAGAAAAAAATCCCCCAAAAGGGAGCAAAATGAGCAAAAGCAAAGGGCAATTTACAAAAGAAAAACCAACACCTAATAAACATGTTAAAAGTTCTACTTCGTGTTTTGTTTTTTTAAAGAAGGAAATTTTTTTAATGATGATTGTTTTATCCCAATCAAGCACCGACTGGTCGGGGGAAACTAATATAACCTTTCTGAAAACAATGTGATAGGTAGTACGTATCAAATGCCTTGAAAATAACCACATCATTTGACTCAGAAATTCAATTTATCCTAAGAAAATAAAACATTCAAAGATTTATCTAGGAGGATATTACCAATGAAGTTTATAAAAGCCACAAACTGGAAAATAAAGGAAGGCCAATAATAATAGATGGATTAGATAAATTACTTTAGATCTGCAATCATGTAAACACTGGAAAAAGTTATTAACAAGAGAAAGTTGAGATTCCTTGTTTTTGTAACCTGCTTTTCTCCACTGAAAACATAGAGCATATGGTATGATTCTGTTGCTATTAAAAAATATGTATAGCTCACCCAGAGGTCTGGAGAGATAACTACAGTTTAAATTTTGGTGCATCTCTCTTGGTGTAGATCTAATCTTTTTTTTTTCCCCCTTGCCTAGTCAGTTTTTTCTTACAGTGTGCATGCATTACCAGTATAACTTTTTAAACCTATTAACATAAAAAACCCACACTATAACCAAAGCCTGGCTCAGAAGTATACCATTTGGAGAAAAAATGGTCTGAGATAAATCTTATTCTTTGATTTACTGATATTGTGAAATAGAAACCTAACAAGGAATAGATATTTATATATTCTGGAATTCCATTTAAGAGCATCCTTAACATGAAGTTGACTAGAAAAAAGACAGTTTTCAAAAATCAGGCATGGAAACACGGTAAAAGAAGGATGCCTAAAAAAAACCCCTAGTATTTTATAGTCCCTATTAGCTCAGTTCATCTGCGTTTATTCTCTCCTCCCTAAACTAACAAAGAAAGAATGATGTCATATGCATTAGCTACATCTCTGTTCCAGAAGTCCTATAAAGAACTTGCATGGTTTGGCCTTAGTGATTAAGACACACCTAAGAGCTGAGAAAGTTGGATGAGATTTACTTACTACATGAAAACAAATAAGTTAAAAGGTTAAACAATAAATATCCATTATCCATGAGTTTTAAGCTAATTAAAATGCCAATAAGCTAGATAAGTTTGAAAATTTTAGATTTTATATAATGCAGTTGTAAATAAAAAGAGAATTCAGGGTCTTACTCTAAATTCTTTTAATTTCCTCAAAAAAGAGAAAAAAGTCAATTTAGTGGCATAAGCTGTCATATTTTTAGAATCAGAAAAAGAGCAATAAAGCTTATCTTCCTTCTACATCCCTTCAATTTCCTTAGACTGCAATATCTATATGAAAGTTTGAGATTTCCACAGTTCAATACTAACATTATAGATCAGATATTTTTTACTATTCCTCAAAATACGGTCTTCAAATGAGCCTGAAGAGATGGTTCAATTGGAAGTGCTGCTTACTAGACAATACTGTAAAAATCTGTTAATCATGCAAACTGAACAAGTAGGCAGTGACATACTACTGCCAATTTGTCAGTGAATATTAGCCAACCAATTCTAAGGGAGGAAAAAAAAAAGTAATGACTGACATACAAGGCAACAGTAACTTGCTCGTATGTATAGTCCCCTTACTTGTAACTAATGTTTTCTAAAAGTTGCGCTGAATCAAGACTTCATTTTTATTCTTCGGTCATATCCCTGACCTCTCATCGTAACTGGTTTTTTTTCCCCCAAACAAATGTAAACTTTTGATTTCCTAAAGCTCAAAAATACAAAATCTGACCCACGAGGCTAAATGGGTTGTGGTTATCAACTTAACCCAAGCCTACTCACCACGAAATAAAAATTATCAGAGAGTCCAGAAGCAGAAAGTCTCTACTTTCTAAAGCACAATAGAGTCTTGTCTAATATTAGACAGTAACACTGCGTTTTGTTGTTTTAGCTGCAAAGCTGGGTATGCAATCTGCAGTAACCATTCCATCAGCTTCAAGTAAATCCTACGCTACCTCTGAAAAAGTAGCAGTTAGGTCCCAAGCAAACAGCAAAGACTAATAAAGAGATATAGGCAGAAGCCTCAACATCAGAAAAGAAGGCCCATCAGCACCTCTTCCGAGAAACCGTTCCCTTCCCCCACCTTTAAGTAGGCACTTAAGACTGCCAAGCAGATCCATTTCTTTATTAACTGGTGCCCACTTGGGGCAACCGTACACCAAACTGCTCTTAGGCCTACTCCAACCCCTTCCAAAAGTGCTCAAGCGAGCCTGAAAGCCGGGGTAACCCTCTTAGGGGCCCCGTTCTTCCTGCTCTTCTCCACCCGTCCTCCGCCCCGCCCCGCCCCTGTAAGCGCTCCTCCGGCCAGAGGAAGGACACCGGGCCCAGGGACCGGCAGGAATTGCCCGCAAGAGAAGTCTCAGACGGCCGGAGGCCTCCGCCATAGCAGGACCTGGAAAGCACCGCCCCCAGCGCACCTCCCCACACCCGGCTAACCGGCGAATGTCTGCTTTCGACACCCTCTATCCCCAGCAGAGGCAGCGGAGGAGACAGGGCCGGGAGGCAGCGGGCAAGGCTACGCAGCAGGCCCGAGCCTGCCCCTCAGGCCGCCGAATCTGCTCCCCAGTCCGGCCGGGTCAAGTCAGCGCGGCGGCCACCCTCACCTGGATGACCTCGTTGACCTCCCGGATACATTCCACCATGTGTTGCAGAATCTGCTCGGCCGTGAGCACCTCGTAGCGGTAATCCTCCTCCTGCTCGTGCCCTGGCCCGCCGCCGCCGCCACCGCCGCCACCGCCGCCGCCAGGTCCCAGAGCGCTGCCGCCGCCGCCGCCCGTCTCCCCGCACAGCAGTCCGTCCCGCTCCCCGCCGACGCCCAGCCCGGGCTCCACCAGCTCCACCTCGCCCAGATCCAGGTTATCATCGTCCGGCTCATCCTCGTCCTCGTCTTCCTCCTCCTCGGCGCCGCTGTCCTCCTCGCTGCACTCTTCGTCCTCGTCGAACTCGTAGTTGTAGCCCTCGTCCGAGTCCATGGCGCGACACGCGAGGGCCCGGCGGACGCTGGCCCTGAGGCGGGGAGAGGGCGGGGACGCCGAGGCCCCGGCTCTCGCTCCGGCTCCGGCTGATGTCCGGACGCAGGCCTGGCTCCGGCCCCGCGGGCCGCGGCTCCTCCCCGGGCGCGGCGGTTGGCGGTTGGCGGCTGGCGGCGGCGGGGAGGGCGCGGAGGAGGGAGGGAGGGAGCGAGGGGGCCGCTTGCCGCCCGCCTCAGTCAGACGCGGCTCCGCTCCGGCCTCCGAGAGAAAACAGTCCCCAGCGCCACCTCCACGGCCGCTGCTACCGCTACTGAGCCAACAAAGGGGCGTGCGTCACCGCGTCGCGCTGCGTCGTCGCGTCACTCCTCTTGGCGTCACCGCGCCCCGCCCCGCCGCCCCTGCGTGGAGTTTGGGGAGACCCCACGGCCCGGCCTGGCTATGGGAGCGCGGCGCCGCGGGAATCGCCTTCTCGGTTCCGGCTGCGGTCCCTCTATGGACCGACACTGGTGGACCCTGTTCCGGAGGAGGCCGTGGCCTCGTCGTCACCGAGAGAAGGGCCCCTGGACACGATGGTGGTTGTCGCCTCAGGCCATAGGGATCCAGCCCCTTCACTGAATCCAGCGAAGGCGGCCTTCCCACCCGGCGGTAGAGACACTTCCCGCTCGCCCTGGAGTAATATTCTGGGAAGACCTCGGTTGTTGGGCTAAAATTCCTGTTGCCCGGGCTACTAAATGGAAATCTGTTTCATGCGGAACCACTAAACCATGTGACAGGTGAACCTCGTTTTAAATACTTCTGCTGCTGCTGTACGCTGGTACAGACGTGCAGTGGTTTTTAAGTCGCCGATAGTGACGTCATTTTAGAGGAGCGTTTCCTGAACTCAGCTCAGCAAGCAGCTACCAATTGAGGGCCCTAAGCAATGTAAACAGTCATGGCTTTCCTTGATTGAGCACTATGTAAGGGCTTTACATACATTCTCTCTCATCTTCACGGAGCCACAGTACCCATTTTGTATCTGAGGCTCAAAGGGAAAGGAACTTGACCAAAACCACAGAAAACGCCCTGTTCCAGCGGCCGGGTGACCTAAAACATCAATCATAAAACTGCTTTACGATGCATAATATGGGTTATGTACTACAAAATATATAAAATGCATTGTAATATAACACAATACAAGCTGTAATAGAAATACCTACAAGGACCAAATATAGCAGAGAGACAGTACTTGTCTCTTATCTAGAAATGTGCTGTGTGAGCTGCGTGGTGATTGGTGGCTAGGAGTTTAACACAGAAGGTAGGTCTAGCCTGAGACCAACAGAAGATGATTTAGCCTGAGAGAGTAATAGAAGCAAAAGCACGGAGGTGTAAACTAGTTTCGTTTCAGCAGCTTCCAGTGAAAGAAGGGTAAATGGGAAATTATTAGGCAAGTTAGGGGCCAGGACAGTAAGAGCATTTTATACCATTATAAGAGTGGGTTTAAATTTTTGTAAGTAGGACAGGAGAACCAGAGAAGTGTCCTGAAGGAGGAAGAGGCCTGAGAAAGCACCCTCTGGGGGTACCCTGAAGGATTGGCCAGTTATTTTTAAAAATCTGAATTCCTATCTTACTGATAAATCTTACTGTTCAAACTACAGGTTCCCTTTGGAAATTTATTGTTTTTAAGTGAAAAATCCTGTGGGGCGCCTGGGTGGCTCAGTCAGTTGAGCATCTGACTCGTGATTTCAGCTCAGGTCATGATCCCAGGGTCATGGGAACCCAAGTGCAGCTCCAGAGGAGCTAGCTTAAGATTCTCTTTCTCTCCCTCTGCCCCTCTCCCCTGCTTGCTCTCTCTCTATATATTTTTAAAATGAAAAGTTCCTTTATGATGTGAATAAGCTACTAGTTTGTCCATTTTATATATGTTTAAATAATCAGATTTCCTGAAATAATCAGGATTTGTAAATTAAAGTGTTTAACATCAGTGCTGGTAAGTCTTGGTCCTTTGATTCTCTTTCTACTTAGTAGTTCTAGGTTGTTGCCACAGCTGGCTAAGGACACTAGCAACCCTTCTCTCTACCCCATCCCCATTTCTATATACATGTGAGAAAAATTAAGTAACACTTGTCAGTACCCTCATATCCTTTGCCCCATTTTTTTTCAATCTACCCCTACCTTGTATGACTCCTACTATCCTTATCCTCCCCTTTGGTACTGGAGCAGCTGACCATCACTGGAATCTGTGCATAATCACATGCATTCTATTATTCTAGTCACCAAGCACAACTGAACCATCAACACCATTCAGAAATCCTGTTAAATTTTTCTGAATTGTCCTTCCCTCTGTAGACAACTCTTGAAACCTTCACCAGTTTTCTCAAACCCTCACCATTGCCCTTCCAAATCCTCTCAAAGTATATAACTTTACATCACAAAGAAAATTGAAATCGTAAAAACTAATGTGACTGAAGCATGCTGAGCAAAGAAGAGTGTTAAGGGATAAAGTCAGAGAAGGGCTATCAAGGCAAAAGCAGGGGGACAGCAGGGCCTTGTAGGCTATCTTAAGAAGTTTACATTATTGCAAAGGGAAGCATTTTTAACAAGAATGAAACAATATAATATGCATTTAAAAAAATAAATGGCTAAAAGGAAATAACTATGGCTGCTTTGTAGAGAATGGACTGAAAGGAGAGATTATGAGGCTATCTCAGTAGTTTGGGTGAATGATGATAATGGCTTGGGCTAGAGATGTGACAGTGGAGATGATAGAAATAGTTTCAGGTATAGTTTGAAAGTAGAGCTAATAGATTTGCTGATGGCTTGACTGTGGGGTTGATAGAGGAAACAAGGATGCCTATTAGATTTGGGGCTTGAGGAACTGGGTCAATGGATGTACCATTTCCTGAAACGTGTTAAATTTCAGATGCTTGTTAGACATCCAGGTAGAGATGTTAAATAGGCAGTTATATTAACTAATGTGCAAGACAGAAGGTATGGGGACGTAGGACTGAAGATACAATTTTCAGAGTTTATGTCAGCATTGTTGAGAAGGAACACAGACTAAAGGTCAAGAGCTTAGGCTTTGGAGGAAAGAGACCTGAATTTGCCTGTGCCCCTCCAGTTGCTGTCTATAACCTTGACCAAATTACTGAACCTTTCTGAGTTTGCCTTTGGAGGATAATTCCTATTCTCATGGGATTATCTGTGAGTGTCAAATGAATAATGCATCTAAAGCTCTTGACGTAGTACCTGACACATAGTTAAATGCTCAAATTTAGAACTTTAAAAAAGTGTCATAAGTCACCTTGCATCTTGTGGGGAAAATTGTAACCAATTGGATTTATAACCTTTTAATTGATTTTATTTGAATTATGCAAGTATGCACATGACCTCAGTCATCCCCATTTTCTAAGGAAGAATATTCGTCTGCTTTTTTCTCAGAAACCTTTTCCATAATCTCATAACTTCTTTTTTGGTCAATATCCTGGGCAACATCATAATGCTTTTGAATTTTGAGGCCTCTTGTTCTATGGATAAACCTTTTTTTTTAATGTTTATTATTTTGAGAGAGAGAGAGACAAAGTGTGAGCAGGGGAGGGGGAGAGAGAGAGAGAGAGAGAGAGAGACGTAGAATCTGAAGCAGGTTCCAGGCTCTGAGCCATCAGCACAGAGCCCGATGAGAGGCTGGAACCCTCTGATAATGAGATCATGACCTGAGCCGAAGTTGGCTGCTTAACTGACTGAGCCACCCAGGCTCCCCCATAGATAAACCCTTCTTAACCAGATTTTCAGCAACACTCATTCCATTGATATTTTGGAAATTATCTTGGAATCAGGTTAGGTTATAGAGCTATTTAAGGAAACCAGTATAACAACTTCTCTCTGGCCCCAAATTGTCCAAGTAATGACCCACATACAATGTTTTTTTAAATGACTTGATCTTAAAGGTATTGCCGGTGTACTGCTTTCTCAGCTATGATGATTACCGGGTAGAAGTACAGTAATCTGTAAACAACATGACAAGGTCCTTGAAAAAAGAATAGGCAAGTTAATATTTTCTTGGTGCCAAAAGAATCATTATTGGTAATTAGGTACTCCCCTTATCCCCATGTTCTAATAAGGTCAAAAGATATTAGTATACATTTATTAAATATCTACTCACAGAGCAAAACTCTATAAATATTTCTATGCTCACCAAGTGGCACTGAATGAAATCCCAATAGGAAGGATATGCAAATGCTTTTCAAATATGTAGAAATTAAAATACTCATGGAATTTTTCTAAGGGCACATGTTCAGAGCTGTAAGCTATGGAAAAGCCTCTAGTAATTACTGGCAGGGCACTAAGGTGACTAAGCCTAGCTGGTACAGAATGGGTTTCCAAGGTTGTGGAGTTTTTAGTGCTAAAACTGGGAAATCCAAGGCAAACTGCCTTGGTTGGTCACCTTACTTGGCACCTCACCACAAATTTTTGTATAATATAATTAAAACACTCTTTCCAAAAATAAAGGGAAAGAAATTATCTTTTGTCATTTTGTTTATAAAGTTTATTTTATTGCAGCATTTATTGCTTTTTAAAAAATGTTTTAGTTCTTGTGTTTTACGAGACAAGATGTAAAAAAGTTACATTTTAATTTTAAAATAAATTTAAGGTTACATTTTACCAAAAGGGCAGAGAGAGACTAATAAGCTCACTGAGTACTTTGCATTTGTTTAAAAACATCTGTCTGCGTACTTACAAACAACAATTGAGTGTTATATCATTGTTGGGAGATAGATCTTATGACACCACTTTTGTGTGGAAAAAATAAAGCTTAGGGAAACTGAGGTTATATGCTTCATTAGAAGTCTGGGCACCTGGGTGGCTCAGTTGGTTAAGGTCCTACTCTTGATTTGGGCTCAGGTCACCATCTCATGGTTCATGGGTTTGAGCCTGGGTCAGGCTCTGCACTGACAGCACAGAGCTTGCTTGGGAGTCTCTCTTTCTCTGCCCCTCCCCTGCTCTCATGCATGTGCATGCACACT